TAGGCGCGTTATCAGCGCTTCGCGTGCGCGATGCGGCGCCACTGTCTGCGAAGAGACGATGCGGACGACGCGCGCGCGCGCTTAGGTACCGCGACGGCACTCCAACCAGGCCACAGCGCGCCAGCGCCTCCGGGTTGTAAATTCGGTTGGTGAGCAATCGAACATAATGGGACAGTAGCGTTTCCTTCCTTCTTAATGCAAGTGTATCCAGCCCCACCATGCCATTAACAAAGAGAGACGGATACAAAAACGGATAATACCCGTAGAGTCGCCCGTAAAGATAACGTGCGAATTTACGCTGGATTCGTTCCAACATGGTTTCATATTTTGCTTCCGAGGGATCCCAGACTATAGAGTTGTACTCTAGTCGACTGCGAACCAAGGACTTATATAGCATCACAGCAACTCCAGGATTCTTGAACTCGGAACCGACCCTCATAATGAACCCTAGTGTTTTGCTAGCTCTACTACAGATGGAAGTAATATGCTGTCGGAAGTCTAACCTGGAATCCATTGTCAATCCAAGATCATTAATCGTTTGGACTCTTGTCATTGGTGTCCCACACAAATGGTAGGTAAAACATAACGGTGTTCGGCTGCGAGTAAAAGTGATTGCCTTACATTTTGACACGTTAAAGAACAAACGATTTCTGTCAGCCCACCCAGCAACCGCGTCAATATCCAGCTGAAGCGCCTTGCAATCGTCAGCCCCGTTTATTGACGTAAACAGTTTTAGATCGTCCGCGAACATGAGGCATTTAGAATAACGAACAGACAGTGGCAGATCGTTTATCATTATTAAAAACTGCGTCGGCCCTAATGTAGAGCCCTGACTTATGCCAGATCGTGTGTAATAGCTGTTCGATTCGTATCCTGCGACTCGCACATACTGACGCCTATTCCGAAGGTAACATGAAAAAAATTTCAATAGTTTCGGTGTGAATCCGAAAGACGCCATCTTCTGCAGCAGCACGTCGTTGTCCACAATATCAAAGGCTTTTTTGAAGTCAAAGTACGTTGCATCAACTTGCCGACCCAAATCCATCCCAGTCATCACGAAATCTACAAAATTCACATGGTTAGTGGCTGTTGAACATGCTTCCCTAAATCCATGCTGGCAGTCAACGAGGCGAGGCCGAATCTGCCGTGAGATCTGCCTATTAATCATTGACTCAAATACCTTGCCGAACACTGACAGTATCGCTATTGGTCTATGCATCGCAACGTCAACGGTGGACTGACCACCCCCCTTCGGTACTGGGGTCACTCTGGAGATTTTCCAGTATTCAGGATACTTACAAGTATCCAAAGACAGATTGTACAAGTAAAGGAGAGGGCGCTCTAGAGCCGAAACACAATCCCTAACAAGAAATGGAGGAATTTCATCATGACCCGCCGCTGAATGAGGTTTCAACTTTTTAACCGCTACTCGCAGCTCCTTCGCTGTCAGTTCACTAATCGACACACAATAAGCATCCAATACATTCTCGTTTCTATGTACGCACTCAGGGTCCAATCGCGGCACGTTATTATGGAACACCGAGCTAAAATACGATGCAAAACCATCCACGGCATCCTGTCCAACAAGCAAATTGCCATTATGAACATAATGACGTGACGGCTGCCCATTACTTCGCTTCTCAGCTATGTATTTCCAGAAGGTTCTTGGCTCATTTCTGATGGCCTTCTCCATATGGTTAATATGATTTTGACTAGCGTTTTTTATTAGATGCTTACTACGCGTACGATAGTACTTATACATTGCCTCATTAAATTCTTTTCCCTCCCCTTTAAACTTTTTCAAATGGTAATACTTTGTTTCAATACATTTTATAATGTCCTTGGTATACCACGATGGATACACATAACGTCCCTTATCGCGTTTACCTTGCTTAATAGGCACGAATTTATTAATACAGTCAAACAATTTGTCATAAAAGACTCTGACCGCCTCTTCAACATTTCGTACTTCGAACAAGTCCTCCCAGTTAATACCTAACAAATGTTCATAAAGCAGACATAGATTAGCTTTAGAAAAGTTCCAGCGCGGTGCTGAAAGTGGATTAGGACGAGGAGGGTGCATACGCAGTGGTAGCGCTTGGTCACCATGCTTGAAATACACCTCTATCTCGAGCGCCGGATGGTAGGCGTCACATGATACCAATGGATCGGTAGACCCAGTAACGGCGACCTCTTTGTCATCCGGCCCAACCAGTATCAGGTCTAAAATACCTCCATAATCATTTGCAATACAATTATATTGTTGTAATTTACAAAAGTCCATAAATAAATTAAATTGATTTTTTACATTAGCACTACATGAGTTTAAATTAAAATCGCCAACTATTAATACATCTGACATACCATGTGCACATAATATATCTTCGATACATGTCAAAACATTTAAATATTGTTCATCTTTATAGTTTGGCGGTAAGTAAACAACACAAAATAGCAACTTAATATTTTTCCAAGATATAACCACAGCAAGTAGCTCTTTATCGTTCGTTACACTGGGGACGTTCGTCACCTCCATCACACTATAACAGTCACGTACTGCCAGCAGCACACCACCCCAACCCACATCACCCTCCCGGTCTTTACGATATATCGTAAAACCGTCAGGAAAAAGTTCTCCGTTGCATACCGAACTTGTTAGGAAGGTTTCCGTCAGTGCTATGACGTCCGCTGAGCATGTAAGTACATTGTTGTAGAATTTAGTAGTCTTAGAGCGGAGACCTCTGACATTTTGATAGTAAAAAGGAATCCTCTTTAGATGTTTATTTTTTCCCTTTAACTTCACTTCTGGACCGAAAGAACTGCTTCCATGGCTTGACACATATATTGGTCGCCCAATTCTTTGCATCTAATACCCACTCAGCCATCTGATAAGGAACTCCAAGTTTGAAAGAAGCGTAGTTCCCACGCGCCTTTAGTTCTTCTACAGTACAATTATCGTTATTACAAATTGATGTAAGATGGTTCTTAACCTGATCAACAGTAGTGCCTTGCTTTACATAGTACAAGTGAAAATATTTCCACCGGTCCGAAGCTTCAAGTAAAGTAGAGCCGGGCATCGCTACGCCACGGAGTACCTGTGGCGAGGAGCGACGTACACGCCGTTGTCTCACTTCAATCCAGTCCTCCTCCTCATCGACATTGGTGTTCTCTCTATGGACATTCACACTCACAGGGTAATGCCTTTTTGGCGATGGTATTGGAGTTGTAGATGGTACAGGTGAGGCTGGCGACTTCCTAGGCTTTTTAGATTTACTCTTTGCTGTGTTACTGGCTCTTGATGAAAGTCCTGTTACTATAGGAACACTTTCTGTGTTGGTGACATTTGTACCCTGATTAATTTTTGGTAACGGTATTTCCATTTCAACCTCCTGTCTTTGTGCAATGGGATGTTTATTATTTACAATATCTTGGAGTTTCAGTTCCAAGGAGTTTATCTTATTATTTAACTGTTCAAATGAAGCACGCAAAACTGATCCAATGCAGACTTCAACAGCTTTGCTAATTTTATTTGTCAGGCGCTCTACAACCTCGCCATTCAATTCCTCACGAATCATAGTTCTGACAACTTCCAAGTAATGGGATACATCATCTAGTGGAGTATGAATGGGACTAACGTGGATGCCCTCTATAGTTTTTTTGTTGGTCTTTTTTTGCCTAGTAGTGACGTTATTCTGCTCACCGTCTTCATTATCAAATACTAACAGAGATGAGCGTACTGGTGTATTGGAGTTGTCTTTTTTAGGCATCTTACTATGACAGTCGAGGCATGTCCATTCCTTCTTACGTTGCATTAGTCTAAAAAACTTTTCTCCTACATTGGCACAGAGCAGGTCATAATGCTTTCCGCAAAGCGAACAAATCAAAAAGTAGTTATCCGGTATTGCATTTCGACAACCAGCACAGACTGGGTTTTGAGCGTCCATGACTGCACGTAAATAGCACAAAAAGCTCACCTTTCCCAAATATTTTATAGAAAGTCTGGTCAGGGGTAGAGACCGACCAACGATGCTGTTGACTCGCGGTAAAAAGTGACGCACGCGTAAACACGGGTATGCGCCACACTCGGCTCCCGCGTCGCAGCTCCTTGCGCACTTTCTCGCAGCGGTGACAGCTTGCCGTGCACAAAATTAAGCAGCGAATGTATGGTAGGTCATGGTCGTTAAGCCGTTAACTAAAAATTTTGAAGTATATTCGCTTATTTCTCAGTAATTAAACGCGCGATTTTGATTCAGTTTTTAGCACAATCTCGACAAAGTCACACACTTCACAACTATGTAAAATTTGTCTTTAAAGAACAAGATTTTGTAATTTTAAAAATAAATAAATCGCTTGAGCCGATAGCGTAGATTCACTCTGTGTGACGCGCGCGCGCTAGCTGATATGATGTGAATAGTAATGATGCTGATGATAATGGTGATCATGATGATGATGTTGATGGTGATGATGATGATATATTGATGTACAAGAAAGTTTATATGACATTAACAAAATACTTATTTAGATTTATTTATTTATTACATATAGATAGATAGATGCTCTTACACGGATGAGAAGGATTTTGATATAGGAAGTTATATTAAAATATTTGTTACATGTTAAATGTTGTCAAACATTCTTTTGTAAACGATAAAATGTGTGTTATAATTCTAATTTCTCATTACTGTTCCGTCTTTCTCATTTAAGTTTATGAGAAAATCATTCGTATTACTGCAATCTCATTCAAAAATGAAATTCACCCATCGAAAAGTGAAATTCACCCTATTATAGGCAGACTAGTATTTTATTGCATACTAGTATTATTTATCAATTAGCGAAATCGTAGCCACACCACCCTAATCCTCGTGGATTGGTTCAATGGATTCTCCTTTTATGAGTTCACTTCGGTCAATCAATCACTAGTCATTCATTTGTTCATTCGTTTGCAAGTTACTCACACGTACGTTTACTTATACATTTTACTTCATTCCTGCTGTGTCGCCTGCTTGTTCGTAGTTTTTTATGACTTTGTTACAATTAAATCTATAAATTTTAATTGTCTTTACATATATAATTTGCTATTATTAAATACTTATAATGTTAATTTACAGTGCTTAGATTACTACATCTAATAAAAGGTACTGTTTAACACAGTACCTGCTACGTATTCAATCAAGTTTTTGGTGCTACTTAAAAATAATTGCTTGCTGATACGAAGGTAAGGGGAATATAATAGTAATAGAAAATATTATATTTTTGTATAAGTATTATTGTAAAAATTACACGACAATTTGGTTGTGTGCGTGATATCCAAATTGTTTTTTAGTGTTTACTAAAGATTTGTAGCCATTTTCCAAGATAACTTTAAATCTGTAGGCATTTTAACAAAACATACTACTGTATAAGTATTAAAGAACTTGTTGAAATGTTTTGTGTAATTTTTGATTAAAAAATATCGACTAACATAAACTATAACGCCGCACGTTCCTCGGATTAGACTTTGACACCAGCTGGCGTGTGTGCGTGTATAGCGATGCGAACGTGTATTTATATCCTGTTCACTGCGCGCTTATGTACACGATTTCACTCTGAAAAAGAAAACTAGAAATTCGAAAATTAATTTATGTAATACAGCCTTTTCCGTTAATTTAAAAGATGTACACGTTAAGTCACGTGTATTTTTAAAAATCTTACAAGATCTACCTCACCAAAATAATTTTAAATGAAGGTGTGAAATGTTAGGTCAAAGATTATGTCAGATATTAATGGAAATCATAAGATTATGTTGTAGTATGCCCATAAAATAAATATAATAGATCTAGTACCTATAGGCTATTTACCTCAATAAAATTGCAGCTGTAGAAAACCAATATTCCTTAGAAAAAAATTTTGTAAATCATGATGAGCTGCTCCGAAAATATTATAAAATTCAATAGGATTTTAAAACAATAAATAAAAATTGCTATTTCACAGTTATGTAATTACAATACAGCTACACCATTAATTCACTTTAATCTGCAATTTGGTTTTTGGATACGTTAATTTATACTTAAGTAGGCAGTTTTGCATTGCTTTCACACAATTTAAAGTATTTTCTTCTGTTGCTGTCTTACATCTTACTTTTTTAATTTGTTATTATTATTATTATTGTTATTACACATCAAGGGTGCTCTGCGAATTTCGAAATGAAAAAAAAAGCCTCTATTTGCACACTTGTACGAAAGCGTTAAAAAGGCTGAAAAGACTTCCTTTTGTGATGAGATGATGACAAAAACATGGAAAAATGTTGTACAAGAATATTTCAACTAGGACCACTTAAATGTGTCGTACAAAACATTCACAAGAATTGTTCAAGTACCCACACAAATCAATAGACAATTCCAGTCTGTATAGTTATGTAGATTAAAAAAAACCTGAAGTTGAAAAAACATGCTGCTGCTAAGTCAATAAGGTAACAGTCACTATTTTCACTTCACTGCTAGCCTCACATTTTGAGTGAAGAAACATAAATTCGCGGGAAAATTAAGTATACATTTGTGTATTTGAATTTTGATTACTTTTCAAGTAAACATCAATTGGCCTGATGAGAACAATTTTTTTTTAAATATTTGAGGGTATAAAATTTAAACATGTTTCCGCGTGTAATCTTCGACTGTATAATGCAAGAATTTAGATGTGACAATAAGTACTACTATACGCGCGAGGCGATATTATCAATTGTGTTAGACAATGATTTTCAAATTTATGCGTTGCAGTGTCCATGAACTTGTTTTTTAAAGAGTACCTACGAGTTGAGCTGACTACTATTGTAGACGTAACAACGGCTGCGGCAGTAGTGATAGATGTTCTAAAATACACAAAATAATAATAATAAACATGTTCACTCTCACGAAATGAAGACTCCGTAAACAAACTGAATATCAGATAAATAAAACCAAACGATAAAGTTATGTAGTAGGTAATGGTCGTATTACCTACTACATAACTTTATCGTTAACGGCAAACCACTACCTATTTCAGACTGACCGATCATTATAATTGAAACACGTAACTATTCATATTCAATATCCACTCTATTATTTTTAAAATCAGTCTGTATCATAAAACATGGCCATTGCCAAATGTGCTTCACCAAGTAACATTATAGGTAACTTGTTATTCAAGAAAATTTAAAAATTCCTAACTCTCGCCTCGAGTCGTGGTTATTCGCGAGGTCAAAAGGGCACTTGCCTAAATTGTAGCGGTAACACAACCGTAGCCCCGTGTTAATAATTTTGTAATTTTATTGTTTCGCAGGTAGCTAAGCCACGATGGCGGAAGCACATTCGGCAGTCGCGTTCTCCTTCGCGATTACGCATGACGGTTGGGATGTGAACTTCGATCGGGAAGTTCTTTATCTTGTCTGGGAGTCTGGTCTCCGTTCCTGGAAGAAACGTTTGGCGAGATTTAGGGTAAGATGTCGAATAAATTCAAATACCCGTTTCCTCGATTACGTACAATACCATTGGAAAGTCGATATTTTACTCCTCTCGGCAAAAGGTCTTCACTATTGCCAAGTAACTTATGCATTTTAAAAGTACATTTATAACTTCCATGCTCTTTATTTATTCATGAGGCCTTTTAAATAACTGCTTTACTTCAACAAATAAATTTTATTGCAGAATAGCATTCATAATGGCGTATATCCTGGTCACTTGCAATCTCTTTATGTCCTTTGGACGTTATTGGTGGCTGCCCATTTTGGCAGCTTTAACATACCCTTCGGTTTAGTCCAAAAAGCATTAAGTGTCCTACCTGGGTAAGTGCAAATAAACCCCATTGCTTATCGCCTTTTCTATATTTATATTTTTTAATGTAATACAATACTAATCATGCCAAACCCCCAAATCAACTGAAAGGCGTGTAATGAACTGGATAATCCACTATGATAGATAACTTTTGTTCATAAAACTACATATTTTAATTAGAGATAACGGCAATAATTCGACTGCGAGTCTGCGATAAAAACGTGATTTGAGACTTTCTGTATATATCCGCGACTGATATTAAAGACAATGTCCGGGATCGATGATTGAACGTCATATTTGTTTTCAGTGTTTTGTTTTGCAAACACCTAAGTTTATAATTGCATAACACTGCCTTCATTTCCATGGGTCCGTGTAAACAATTGTTTGTAATAATGTAATAAAATTCATAATAATGTGCCAAACAACCACATCAATTACCTGGTTACTATGAGTACCAGAGCAACTGAATTCACTCTGGGGTACTACCCAGAACACCTAAACCAGAACCAATTTAGAAGAGTTGATTCCCAGTTGAACCTACTGGGAATCGAACCCGGGACCTCCACATCCAATGCCCACAGTGCAAACCGTCGGGTCACCGAGGTCGTAAATGTCTGCAATGTCTTACCAGTATTTTTTATTTATTTAGGCATTCAACATTGTGGCAAGTGATTGCTTGCTTTCTAGCAGCTCTCACCATGTGGCTTTCCGTAATATTCCTCATGCGATATATGCTAAAACTCCTACTAATGTACAAGGTAAATATGCAATGTTTATCCATAGTCCTAATATAGTATTGGCGGAATTTTTTTATGCAGTTAGTAGTTTATTTCTAGTGGATATAGAAATATGAAGACGAGATAATAACACAAAAGCGAGGATTATATTACGATTTATCAAACTCGTGATAAGGAGCTATGAAAATGCTGTTACAACGCGTATGACCTTTCAATTAGGCATTTAATACCTGAATTAACATTTCTAGTATACGTTATTATTACAAAGAGAACGTTTTGTTATGTAAAATCCAGATAGTCGCGTGGAGCAAAGCCGCCTGCAGCCAACCCAAATAGTCACGATAGCAATAGATAAGGATAACAACATTTTGAAGTGATACTATTATTTTGTCATTTGATTGATAGGTCTATTGCGTCGTAACAAGGCTGTGTTTATTTCAGGGTTGGATGTATGAATCGCGTGCGCCCGGATCGAAAATATCGTTGAGAACTAAAATATGGGTGAGTGTCGTGAAGGTGTTGTGCGGCTGGAATAAGCCCAAGCTGTATAGTTTCCAAGGTTCACTCCCCAGACTACCACTGCCAGCCGTCAAAGATACTATGCGTAGGGTAAGTTGTTCAAGAATTTTACTTTTACGATCATAATATTAAATATAGAAAATAATTTGAATACATTCAGACAAAAGAAGAAAAACAAATACGAACAGAACACCAAATAAAGATATAGATAAGTATGATAAATCAACAAATACATGCTATTTACTGCTAAATATATGTATATTTATGTTGCGTGTACCTATGTTCGATCGAGACATTATAAAGCACATAATTAATATTAACCCCTTTTCTCACAGTACCTGATAAGCGTTCGGCCTCTGCTAGATGACGAAAACTATAAAAGAGTTGAAAGATTGGCTAAAGAGTTTGAAGAAGGAATTGCTGTCAAATTGCAAAGATATCTTGTTCTCAAATCATGGTGAGCTCCTTTAATTAAAATTCTTTTCATAAAGATTTAACCTCGCACACATTTGAGTAAGTACTCAATAAATAGTCATATATATACAAAAACTATATATATATAAAAACCTTCTAGTACAATATACAATAACATTTATCCTTTCTTCCATATAATGATATAAGGATTTACTGGTAAACTGTTCAGAAACCTCTCGAAAAAGGGAGCCTATGCTTAGTGTGTGAGTTGATGACATAATTAGAATAACTGCAAGTAAACACAGGGAGAATTACGATGTTTTCGTCATAACCATTTCAGCCGAAGACAAAGCGTCTATGTGATGTTATACTAAATTATATTCATACATTTTTAGTGAAAATATTCCAGTAGTTTGTTACTGATACAAGGATCGAACAATACAAAGAAAAATTCCTTCCCAGCATTGCAACAGACACTGGTTCAAGGCCGGTCAGAGCAAAACAATTTTTCTTTGTTCTATCTTTGTATCAATAATAAATAGTAAAGGGAGAAGTTGAGTTCTATCCTAAGGCTTAATACTAGAACTCAAGATTAAATTCATTATTATTTATATTATTATTATTATATCTATTTTAGACTCACCTCTCCCAAGGCCATATTATTATTATTATTATTTAACTGCCTCCGCGGCCGAACGTCTACTATTAGAACGGCCGGACTGCCACGCAGAGGTCCCAGGATCGATTCCCGGGCCGGGGGAAATATTTGTATGGCCTACATTTATTTCTCTCGTGAGTTTGGGTGTAATTTGTGGTTAGCTATGTGTGGGTCCATGGCACCCGCGACACAGTGTTTCCCTAGTGCAGGGCTATGTTGAGTGTGTGCGTTATTTTTATTATGGGTTTTGTGAACCAATGTCGGAAAAAGTTCTAGTTCACAAAACTTTATATAAACTTCGTTTTTCAACGCCAATTTCATCGTTATCAGGTGGTCAAGCAACTACGTTTCTGATTGGTGGGAAGAGTATGTGTACTTGCGAGGCCGGTCCCCTCTGATGGTGAACTCTAACTTCTACGGCACTGACGCGATCCTCATGAAGCCCACGAGCAGTCAGGCCGCACGAGCTGGTGCCGTCATCCATCTCTGTCTTAAGTTCCGCAGACTTATCGACAGGCAGGAACTTGAACCAGTTAGTATAATTATTTGTATGTAATTTTGAACACTCAGCAAGTAATACTTGCTACTCTATCATGCAATCTCTTTCTGTAGATGATAAAACTTCCCTGCTAGGAATTGAATGGGAATAATGATGACATGTTAAGGTTACAATTGTTCCACATGGACCTACTGCGAATAAAGGAACTGACCATACACAAATATATGTATTATGAATTCGTATTTCTCTATGTACCGTAAGATAAATGAGGGCAAACGGTGAGGTAGCACTGACTTTTAAATACTTCTGGTTTTTGCTTCTGTGCGGTGTTGGCTTATCACCCAACCAATTATATTTGAACGAGTTGAAAGGAGGTATTTTAAGTATTAGAAGAGAAATAATAAGTAATAGAAAATTGAAGAAGCATTTTATGTAGTTTGCTTGTAATGTTTTCGTTCTGTTACGCCTTTTTTATTTTTATACTAAGAAAACGCCCACTATTGTATACCTATAGAGTACGAGATAAGTACAATAATACAGTACGATATCTTAATCTGGCCGTCTGCGTGACGTCTAGTATGCCACGTAAATTTTGTTTACATCCGCTGATTAGCTACTCGTGTGCTTAGGTAAGATAACTTTAATTGATCCTTCAACATACCTTGAATTTATTACTATTCATTTAATCGCGAAAATGTTTATACCTACGTTAGCAAAATGCTTGTTGATCCACAGCTGTGCTTTACCTGTTACCTTTGTTAATGCGCATAATTTATCGAAAAAGGTCGTAACAGCGAAGTAACGAGGTAATAAACCTTTGAATGTGATATTTATTTCAGATAATGCTACAAAATATTGTACCTCTATGCTCGTGGCAGTACGAGAGGCTGTTCAACACTGTTCGAGTCCCAGGTGTAGAGACGGACAAGATCGTGCATTACCAGGACTCCAGCCACATCACTGTTTTGCACAAAGGCCGCTACTTCAAGGTGATGGTGTATTCCAGGGGCAGATTACTTAAGCCTGCTGAAATTCAAATGTAAGTATCCACATAAGCAACAAGTGGCGGTTACGTTCGCGATCGTAATTAATTATTATATATAACTATCTAGTCTTCTGCGTTTAAAGTTAAAAGATTGTTTGGAAATTCATAGGTTTTTATGTATGTGTAAGTGTGTGTGCGTGTGTTCACTGGTTTAATTTCATTTACGGTCGAGAAGGAAGGACGTTTAAAAAAAATGATTACGGTATTATATTGAAATGTTCGCAATGCAACATTGTGATAAACGAGTTGTTGTGTTTTGTACAAAATAAATTAGATGTGATTGGATGAAGAGAGTGTCATAAAGTTGTGCGTCAGTTCTTTTTCTTCGGAGGAAATTAGTGCTGCAAAGGAATTACTGTTTAAATCATTATCGACGACTGTTCGTAATGTTTCGAGACGTAAAAACAAGGTCCTTAAAGACTTAGAGGACATCATATATATATTCAAGAGTACTGACCCTGATATAACGTCCACATTTGTTGGGAAAGAACTTCAGAAATTTTCACCGTTTACTTTTGACCACATAGACGTGACAAGATTATTGAAAGATATCGTTATGCTAAAGTCTGAAGTAATCTAAAAGATGTAGATTTACAAAAAATGCGACCCGAAGTGGATTCAATTTCGAAGGATTATGCGTCAGTTAAACAATTAGCAGAGTTACAATCCGAAATTGATAATATGAAGAGAGTGTCAACCAGTGATATTCAGTGATTTCGAAAGGAATATTAATGAAAAACGTGGTACTTGCTTGTTGAATAACTTTGCATATAATAGTGGGCCAATGGGTTTGCACCTATGGATTCCCTCTACAAAGGTCCTGTTAATACACGTTCCAAAAATTCGCCGTTGAAAATTAACATTCGTAACATTCCGATTGAGGGTGTCGTGACTAAATAGCCACCGCTGTCACTACCGATCGCTCGATCACCTGTTGCTGAGGCGAGCTCCGCTGTTATCATCTACCTGCGCCGTCGCCGCCGGCCGCGGTGGGACACACTGTCGACTCGTTCGCAATGAAGCAGCGAGATATATCTCGCGAAGGAGTCGACAGTCTTTACAAAGAGTAAACTTTTCTCTGACGTTGTACGGGAAGGTGAATGGTGCTCACGTGATCAGATCGGAAAGTGAGAAGTACAGCACAGGAAGAAATCGAGAAATCGTTTTATATGAAAGAGAGGTAACGCTGTCGTCGATCCAAATACAAATTTTAAGGTGGTCGAAATAAAATTCCTATTTACATTTACAACGTTTCGAAGGGCACGACCATGTGTGACATAGTCAACAACGTAAACAGTAAGATGGCTTAAAAATAGTACCAGAGGAAATGACAACGAAATTGGAGAAAGATTATGATGCATACAAAATATTTGTACCGAAACAAAAATTAGAACTTTATGAAAGACGACCATTGACCGGATGGCTTTGCTTATCGGCGCTTTATTGACTTTGGTCGTAATAAGAGAGACAGAGGTAAATCTCTGAATACTGTGACTGACTTGAATAAAATATAATTTTATGGCTAATACAACTAAGTTTATCAGTTTGAACTGCAAAAACGTTGTGCGCTCCGTTGATTGTGTGTGCAAGCTTTGCCGCAATTCTGACATTATAGCGTTACAGGAAACATGGTTGTTACCTCATAACATCATATCTTGGAAGTATAAGTGACGGCTTCTCCTTTACTGGTAAATCAGCGGTACATACATCAGCGGGCGTGTTGAGAGGTCGACCATACGGAGGTGTGGCCTTATTGTGGAAAAAAATCTGAGTTCCCGTGTGTATCAATATTAGAGTGTAACAGCGTGCGACTCGCTGCAATTAAGATTATGCTTGAAAATCGATCTATACTTATAATATCAGTACATGTCTCCAGCGTCATTAGATAATCTTGTGGAATTTACCGAATGTCTAAGTGAAATTAACGCCATAATTGAGAGTAATAATGTGGAAACAGTGTTTGTACATGGAGACTTCAATGCGCATCCAGGTGAGCTATTTGCTAACGAATTACTATTCTTTTATGCTGAGCAATCATAGAGTTGTATTGATATGCAGTTATTGCCAGGAGACAGTTACACTTTTGTTAGTAAAGCGCATGGGTGTCGTCTGTGGTTAGACCACTGTGTTGTGACTAGTGCAGCGCGAAATACGGTATTAAATGCGTCAGGGATTTACGACGTTTATTGGTCGGACCACCTTCCTTTGTTGATTGAATGTAATATTAACTTAATTAAACAAAAAATATGTAATTCTATTTATGTTCAAAATAAAGTAATTTGGGGTGAAAGGGACAATGTACAATTGCAAAAATTTCGTAATTATTGTCACGATGACGCTGATGAGTTTAGACATTGTGCTGACAGATACTGTAATAATAATAACCACAAGCAGATAATTGATGACATGTATAATAGTATTGTACATATGGTAGGTTACTAAGAGCGCTGAGCTAAGTTACACTGAATCTAGACCAAATTTAAGATGTAAATATATACCTGGTTGGAATACGTATGTAAGTGGCGCTCAGACAGGTTCGGCTTAGTTATCTGGTGTGGTTATTGTATGTAAACCGGAAAACGGTCTTGTTTATAATAATATCTACGAATCTCGAAACCTGTTTAAATCTAAATGAAAATATTGTCAAATTAATGCTGAACAGATAAAAATGGACATTATTGCCCAACATCACTCAAATAAGCATTTTGGTAAGTTTTGGAAAACGACAAATAAATGAAATCCAAAGCCAAGCCTCCCAGTAAGCGTAGACGGTGCATATGAGCCGGATGACATAGCCAATGCGTTTCGGCGCCAGTTCAAGGTACAGTCACCCCTTGAGACGGCGACACAGGTGAGTGATGCTAAGGCTGGGAGACCAATGGGAGACATTAATTTTAGAATTATCGCCAAACAAGTTGCGAGTGTTATTAGATCAATGGACAGAGGGAAATCTCCTGGTAGTGACAGTCTTAGTATTGAACACCTAAAATATGCAGGAGTGCATCTGCCAAGAGTTCTTGCATTGTTTTTTAACTTTTGCATTAGTCACTGTTACTTGCCTGATAAACTACTGTACACAATTGTTGGTACAACGCAAAAAAGAGCGAGCTTATGATTTTCAAGGCAGGCACTAAATCGTATTCTGTTGTACTTCAGGTTAAACTTGCTGATATTCCCTGACAAAAAGTGGAACGGCTTATAAACGGGATGATCTTAATGATAATTTAGATATATAACGGGTTCGCAGGGCGCTGTCTGTGCGGTGTAATATATTGGCACGGAGGTTTGCACGTAGTAGCGACCCGGTTAAGGTTTTGCTTTTCAAAGCATATTGCCAGTCCTTCTACATATGTAGCCCACGGGTCAACTTTACGCAGCGTGCATACGGCGCACTGCGCGTCCCATATAATAATGCTTTTATTACACAATGCTTTTAATACATACCGTATTGCAGTCAAGTTTAGAGAACTTGCGAAATTCATTGCGAGATGTTCAACTAGTGCGCCTATTTAAAAATAATATATTACGGAATTGGTTTGAATGCGTTTGGATAAACTTTATAAACGGATTTCTTTGTCACCATTTACTCTGATTTTATAAAGTTCTGACCTAAAGTTAGCTAAGGTTAAAATCTACACCCAAAAACTACTTAGTAGTAGATTTATGTCCACTTGGACTGCAAATAAGTACATTCTAAATCAATGCTTGTAATGCAAAAGACACTCATAATACATTGCTGACATAACTAAGCATATAATTGATTGTTGAAATTCAAATGGAAGGAATCAGTACTACCACCCTATAAAAACTTCGCAAAATTTTCGGCGTGGCCATGTTTAATGCTATGCTTTACATTAGCTCCGCGAGCTAAATTTCATATGAATAAATTTATGAAAATCCTGTAATTGTTGGAAGTCATGGTTCGCTTAGAAAAAAAATAAAGTTACGTTTTTAATCCAATGTAAGTGTTCTATGTGCAAAATTAATGCTTACACAAAACTGTTGTTATTGACAGGCAAATAGAACAAATCTTGGAAGACAACTCTGAGCCGTTAGTGGGCGAGGAGAGGCTAGCGGCACTGACAGCGGGCGAACGCTCTCACTGGGCGCACATCCGCCAAACGCACTTTAACCGCGGGCACAACCGCACCTCGCTGCATTGCATCGAGCGAGCCGCTTTCAATGTTTGCCTAGGTGAGACCATACACAAACTAATATTCTACATACCAAAGGGTAATGTCCAATTATTTAACAGTCATCACCAGAGATGGACAAGCACCCGGTATTTAACCTGCCACTTTGTTAACTCGGGTTAAAATCCATTAATGCCCGATTTCGAAAACTATTTACAACTAAATATTTGTTGTAAATCGGGTTTTGTTCAAATTAATGATATTATTACAAAAAGTTTATTGCTTTCTGATTTAGACGATTCGATTTACCTTTCTATTGAATCGACTTGTTTGAAAATCGCATTGGAATAAATCGACACAATAAAAATAGATCGAACGCATTTGAATCGATCTTATAATGTAATGTGCATCCTTGAGAATCCACAGGATTGCAACGTAGGTATCGTGTGAAGTTCCCTCTTTTTCGTCTAAAAAAGATTTTTTAAATTTAATTTGTAATAAGTATGGAATATACCAAATGCCGTATTCGCCATTTCTGCCCATGATTTTGGTCAGAAATAGGTTAAACCGGCGCTATGGGTAAAAACCCGCTTAAAACAGGCGGGTTGACTGAGTTGTAACTACGGCTTTTTAACCCACAGCCCAGCTCTGGTCATCACTAACTTCTGCTCTAGCATTGCCAACGCCGTCTATGTCAATATTACTAAAACCAGACGACGATATCATTAAAATTTGTATAGCTAATTAAATAAAACAAGTATTATACAAACACAGATAAAGGCTTATATCCCTCTTTTTGGGTGATAAGTTAAAAAGTAAAGTACAGCCTTCAGTCACCGGACAAATAACTACTAGTGACAGAAAAATCAATGAGAAAAATAGAGACAACCGCTTGTGTGTTATCATAGACTTTATTTAAAGTAACCTACCTCTATTTACATGTACGTCTAATTGAATTATACAACAATGATGAAATGAGTACAATACTATAATAATACGATTGTTATTATCGGTATTCAAATGCAAATGATCGACCCTACAATAGTATTAAAAAGGTTTATTTACCTTGTTGTCGTTCACAAAAAAGTACTGTTAATATCATTGCTATTAATACACACACTCAACATAGCCCCGCACTAAGAAAACCCTAGATCGCGGGTGCCACGGACACGCACATAGAGAACCACAAATTACACCCAAACTCACGAGAGAAATAAATGTAGGCCATATAAATATTTTATCCCGGCCCGGATTCTAACCTCAGCGTGGCAGTCCGGCATGGTAACCGTTCGATGGAGACAGTTTATCATGCTATACCTAATTCGGAGCCCCTACTTATAGATACATCAGTAACTTGAATATCTAAATGTTTTAGATGACAGGGAGTACGGGTACGATGAGAATGATTCTTCAAAACTGGACGAATATGGCAGAGTACTGCTTCACGGCAAAGGCTACGATCGTTGGTTTGACAAGTCCTTCAACCTCTGCTTTAGCACCAATGGTTTTGTAAGTATTTTTGTAATAATATTAATTCCTCTGTACTAACATACTGACAATGAGAGGATTGTGGTATTTCAAAAAATATTTGCCATCTCGGCAACGGTTTTCAACTGGATGCACGCACACAACACGTGCAAACTGCACGCACATATTGCAATGACCCGAACTTGGAGCGTAGAATGCGGCGCAGGCGCCGGTGACGCGAAATGAGTTTGTTGATTGAAGAATTTTATCAAGTTACAAATACAATTTTTTTTTTATTTTGTCTAGTGAAAGTTAAAAATACCCAAGTTACGGCGTGCTACAGTACTATCATTCTTAATATCTCGCAACGTCAATGCACCGCTGCATCAGTAGCAGTCGAGCTTGTGAAAAAGTTCGTCCGAAGAGATACTGCCACGTTACTTATTTCTGCCGTCAAGCGGTAATATGAGTATTAATGCTTTCCGTTTGTTAGGGTAAGACGCCGCGCATACGTGTCTCGTGTTTGATACAAGCGATAGGTAATTAGAAGCGAATCTCATATTCTATTTTCTTACAAATTGCGGACTGTCCGCCGCAACCGGCGACTGTGTCGATTACATGTCAATTTTATAAAAATATAATATTTTCTTCTATTTGCCGGTTGTTTGTATCCAACACAAGACACACGTTTGCGCGGCGCCTAAGAGTGCTGGTGAACTGACAGGCACTTGGTACTTGTCAACTTATGTCTCAGGGTGATGGGCGCGGTGGATGTTCCCCCTATTTAATATTTATTTTCAGTGTGTTAGGGCACGCACTGTACAAACTTTAAGGGGGTGTTTAGTATTCAATATTATGTGAGAAACACTAATACATGTGGGGTCAAAACTCAAATCCCTAGGAATGGCAGCCATTTTGATTTTTTATACTTAGTTTGCTAAACGTTTGTTCTAAAATTATCATATTATGAGAAGTAAAAGCAGTACGAACATAAAAAATATTTTTTCGGAAAGCTAAGATTAGCGGCAATTGAATAAAATATCTGTCATGTACATAAAAAAGTGAGGGATTGCCTAATAAAAATAATGAATGTAAATTTTTACCAAAAAAACTCCCAAAAAAACTAAGTTTTTGTAATTTAATCCTAAAATAACCAAATTAAGGTACTGTTTTTATGTATGAATTTTAAAGTATTTCAGCTGTTCTTAAAAACACGACAAAAATCATAATCCTATGTCCACAATTCTAAAAGTTACAGCTTCTGCAACATAACGTCTCCGAGGGCGAAATAAGTTAATTTTACAGTCTTTCTAGTAAATTGTTTTGTGTTGAGATGTAGTAAGTTAATTTGAAATAAAAAACAGTAAAAAATATTAGATTATTTATTTTACAAAAAAAAGAAACACATAAATTATAAAAAGTGTTCAAAATGATTTTAGAAGGCATAGGCCTATTTAGAAGGCAAGCTGTTGTCCGAATTCCCACCTGCTGCGTGGGCCGATATAAAATTTCGGGATTTGCACGAATTTCTTCAGCAGCTTCACGAATGCGCGACGATAGCTCCACCCTCGTATTCACTGGGTTAAAATAAACTTTTTGTTTCATCCAACCCCAAAAAAAAATCTAATGGAGTTAAATCCGGACTACGCGGAGGCCACGCAACAGTGCCGCCTCTTCCAATCCACTGTGGATAATTTTCATTCAAGTGCTGTCTCACAGCTGTGGCGAAATGAGCCGGGGCTCCATCCAGCTGCAACCACATTCCTCGGAGACGTGCGATTGGCAATTCTGAGAGAAATTCCACAAACTCTGTCCTTAAAAATTCCAAAAATCTTGGGTCATTTAATCTTTCCGGCAACTCCACCGGTCCAACTAATTGGTTATTAATAATACCAGCCCAAACGTTGACAGAAAACTCATGCTGGAATGATGATGGTCTCACTGCATGAGGGTTTTCGGTAATCCACATATGTAAATTACGATAATTGGTTATACCCGCTCTTGTAAACAAAGCTTCGTCGCTCCATAAAATCTTCTTTAAAAAGTTTGGCTGTTGCCGCACCTTTTGATTAATCCACGCACTAAACACTGAACGTGCTGCATAGTCCGGATCACTAATATTCTGCACGCGTCGAAAATGGTAAGGACATAAGCCTTCACATTTCAAAATACGCCACACTGTCCAATGCGACATACCAAGTCGGAGAGCAATTCGCCTCGTGCTTAATCTTGGATCTCTGTAGATCATATTAAGAACGGTTTCTTCATCATAAACTGGTATTTCACGTGCACGTTCACCTAATGGTTGACGAATACCATTTTCTGCCAATCGCCTATGAATATCACGAAATGTCTGGTGATTAGGTGTAGGCCGATTTGGGAATCTCCTTCGGTATTCACGAACTGCTGCCCGTGCATTACCATTGCAAAATCCATAGATGAAATGAATATCTGCAATATGCGCACTTGAATACTGCTGATTATTCATGACGAATCAACAATAAATTTCACTCCGAAAGCACTTTTGGTCAAGATGTGTTGTTGTCTGAGTAGAGAGTAACAACTGACTGTTAATTGTTGATTGAAAAGACCGTTAAGTACCCTTAGAACTTTTTTTCAATCAGGATTGTGCTTAGGGGCTTATCTTTTGTCCCTTTTACACTTGCAAGCTGGGCAGAGTGAGCCAGGTAATAAATGGTTGAACTCATCGCCATTGTTGTAACCGAGAGCGATCTTTTGTGTTGTTAAGATACTAAGTTCGAGTAGTAAAAACTTTTAGAATTGTAGACATACGATTATGAATTTGGTCTTGATTTTAAGCACAGCTGAAATACTTTAAAATTCATACACAAAAACAGTACCTTAATTTGGTTATTTTAGGATTAAATTACAAAAACTTAGATTTTTTGGCAGTTTTTTTGGTAAAAATTTACATTCATTATTTTTTTAGGCAATCCCCCACTTTTTTATGTACATGACAGATATTTTATTCAATTGCCGCTAATCTTAGCTTTCCGAAAAAATATTTTTTATGTTCGTACTGCTTTTACTTCTCATAATATGATAATTTTAGAACAAACGTCTAGTAAACTAAGTATAACAAATCAAAATGGTTGCCATTTCTAGGGAGTCGAGTTTTGACCCCACATGTATTAGTGTTTTTCACATAATATTGAATACTAAACATCCCCTTAAAATTTGTACAGTGCATGCCCTAACACACTGTATATCATCTTCAAAAACGTGTAACTAAAATAAAGATTAATGCCTAATCTATACATTTGTAACATTGTACCAAGTGCAAAGGGGAACTGATAGAGATATAATGCCGAGATATATGTATATATTAAGAAAATAATTGTACTGCTGGACGTAAAATCTCCTTACACAGTGTCAATATTCCGCTGTGGAGGTATTATAAATAGTCTTAATTTCGCTTCGGTTTAAGTTCATGACTGTACAAGCTGCCCTTGTTTCAGGTTGGTTTCAACGCTGAACACACGTGGTAAATATTTCATGTCTTAACATCGCATTTAGTATCCATAGTTTTCATAGAATATGAACAATTATGGTTGTAAGAATTATGTTGTTTTTGTATAGAAAGTTTGTATACATTATTATTATAATATACGAGTATAGAGTGGAGTCACGTCGCTGCACAGTAATTTTGACCTGTAAGATCTCATCATAAATGATAAGATTTAAATATAACGTATAAGTTATCATCTGATCCCTATTTGGATTATCTCTGCCCTTACTAAGTTGTTTTAGTATTTTCAATAAACATAAAGTGTTGGTTGATTCTTTAGATCTTTTCAAAACTTCTTTATATGACATGCAATATAACACCAAAAAAATACAAAATGATAATAAATAAACATGTGAAATGTCCAGGACTCAGCTACAGAGGACTATGAATTACTTATTCTTCGCTGAATCTATTGTCATCTAAAACAGTAAAAATAAAACATAACTATTACATCCAGTGATCGGAATTGAGGGAGTTAATTTACCTAAAGTATGAACGTTTTCTTAGTATGGACATTTTGATTTCGTCATCATGCATATAAATTTTCTTTTTTCCTGTTTTTTTAAACATTCCAAAATATAATTTGTCTCATGTTAATTTTTTAAATGCCTAAAGTATTTAATACGTTAGTACCTATGGAAACACCTATAGTACAATATTATTTTTTGAGACAATAACTTGAAGCAAATACTTAATGGAAAATAATAATTTGTCGCCAGTGTACTCAACTTTCAATAAATAATACGCATCTTCAAATATAATCAGTTCCGAAAAGTCTCGAGATTTGTAGGTCATTAACTCTCTCAATTCCGACCACTGATAACGAAACAATAGGTAATTGTGCGTTTTGTTGCAGGGCTGACGCACCCGTCATGGGACACTTATGGGAGTACGTCGTCTGGTCTGAATCAGAAATGGAGTAAGATAATATTTCGAATAATGATCATACTATAATAAGATAAGTATGGTAACTCCGTGCAAACGTAGCAGCGCGTTTGTATGTGTGCGCGTCCGTCTCGTGACTTGTACGAACGCACGCATTCGCAAAATCTCGCATTGCTCTCGCGTTGCATAGCTCAGGTCATTCCACGCGTCTTTTATTAGGGGTTAAAGTATGAAATTGCCGTTTTATTGCAATAGGTTCTTTGAATTTTCATAGAATCTTCATGGTTTGAGGTTTTCGAATGAAACTTTTTCAAATGGTTTCTGTGATTTTTTTTTTTAAACTTGAAACATTTGAATATCGACTTTCAATTGTTTTTGTTATTCAATTTAGACAAGAAAGATGGATACTGCGAAAATTCGAGTGATTTTTGAATACGAGTTCCGACGCGGAACTAACGCGGCAGAAACAGCCCGCAATATCAATGCTGCGTTTGGAGAGGGGTCTACTAATGAACGCACCGTGCGATTTTGGTTTAAACGCTTTCGTGATGGAAATTTCGACTTAAAGAACGAGACACGAGGAAGACCGCCCACACAGGTGAATAACGATGAATTAAGAGAGATAGTGAAAGCCGATCCTAGTCAAACTACCCAGGAATTAGCGGCATGGTTTAACGTTACCTTACCCACAATATTGACTCACTTGCGTCAAATCAATAAAATAAAAAAATACGAAAAATGGGTGCCTTATGATTTGACTGATCTGCAGAAAGAAACGCGTGTTGAAACTTGTGTTGCCTTGTTGAACCGGTACAGAAATGAAGGAATATTGGATCGAATTGTAACATGTGATGAAAAGTGGATTCTTTATGATAACCGGAAAAGTAAAATGCAATGGCTGACCCCAGGTCAAATGCCACAACAGTGTCCTAAAGCAAAACTTACCAATAAAAAGGTAATGGTAACTGTTTGGTGGTCTCAGCATGGTGTTATTCACTATAGTTTTCTCCGATCTGGTCAAGCAATAACGGCAGATGTCTATTGTGCCGAACTCCGAACCATGTTGACAAAACTAGCAGTAAAACAGCCCCGACTCATGAATCGATCTTCACCATTATTGCTCCACGACAACGCGAGACCTCACACAGCACGAGAAACCATTTTGACCCTTCAGGAACTGCAGTTAGAAACCATTCGTTATCCTCCGTATTCACCAGACCTTGCTCCAACGGACTACCATTTTTTTCGTGATTTGGACAATTATCTACGTGACAAGAAGTTTTCTTCCCAGGAGGCAGTACAAAATGCATTCACACAGTTTGTGCAGTCTAGATCGTCGGAGTTCTATCGCAAAGGCATTAATAACCTTCCCATTAGATGGCAGCAATGTATAGATAATAATGGCAACTATTTTGATTAAATAAATTTGTTAAAAATTTAAAAAATAAACAATTTAGATTTTCAGTACAAATCGGCAATTTCATACTTTAACCCCTATTATTATTATGCGAATGTGTGCCTCCGTATATGGCGCGGGGAGAGGAGCATGCAAATAAGCCGCGCTGCTGCGTGTCAATGGGGTTACCATACTTATTATACTGTGTATGTATAGACATAACAAATAAGCATATTTATGGAAACCCATTATTCGCATGTAAAGAAATTCATCACAGAACTGGGTGTACACTATCTACATATATGTTTAGTTTTCCGCTATTGTACTCCATATCTAACGCTCGCTCGTCTGTCAGCCTTATTGCAATTAGGTAATTAATAACCTCAGTACAGACTACCAAAAAACCGACCTCAAAAGTTTGTGGAATTACATCGTATTTGCCAAGTTTTGTTGAAATCGGTTACCGGAACGTGCGCGACACCGGATTCATCCCATAGTCTGCCGCTCTTGGAGGTGGAATATTTTCTTTAAAATTATATTAAAAAAATTATCAAAATCGGTTCATAAATATAAATTATCGCGTAACATACACACAAAAAAATACAGTTGAATTGAGAACCTCATCCTTATTTGGTAGTCGGTTAAAAAATGACCTACATTTTTTATTAACAATGTATGTCAAATTAGATACGCTCAGGACGGCAACAACGTTGGACCGGTAGAGACCCCTCCCCCCGCACCGATCCGCATGCAGTGGGACCTCAAGAACGAAGAATTGCTCAACGCCATCGACGTCTCCTACAACGTCGCACAAAAACTGCTCAATGACGTCGACCTTAGGATACTCATGTACACTAAATATGGAAAAGGTAACACTTCATCTTGTCCCGTATTCTATTTGAACTACTGGTTAATATTCTATTTTAAATTCGGATATGTGTCCAGTGCTTAAGCGTTCACATAACATGAATGTTGTATCATATATATCATTAACATTTTGCGTCTCATTCTAATATATAGTTGTCTAACGTTTATGGTAGGTTTACAACAACATTGTAGAACTCAACTATTGTAAAAAAATGGTGTATCTTTTTGATCACACGCAATTTCCTTTCTGAAAAGAAAAATATTTATTATTTTTCTTTAAAGAAGCCTAGATACGCAACTTTAATTACGTTTGCTTTTATTGTATACAGACCACTTAAAATGGTTTATATTTGTCGATTCACGTGATAAATTATGACTTGCATGAAGGTTTCATGAAGCAGTGCCGCTTGTCTCCGGACGCGTTCATCCAGCTGGTGCTGCAGCTATCGTACTATCGCGACGCGGGCCGCTTCTGCTTAACTTACGAGGCGTCCATGACGCGCCTTTTCCGCGAGGGTCGCACAGAGACCGTGCGTCCCTGCACCATAGAGAGCTCCGCGTGGGTCAAGTCGATGGTCGACCCTAACGCTACGGTAATTTGCATTTATTAAACCTTCAGATATATGAATTAAACTTTGCAACATTGTGGTGTTGAGGCAAAAAAAAAACAAAAATACAACTGGAATGCTAATGAGAAATGTTAATACTCTAGCGCCACTGCGACATCGGGCTTTTAGAATATTTTGTCTAATTTAGTGTAATAGATTATCATATTATCGTACTCAGTGTTTTTTGTAACATACGGATGATAGTGATTCAGCATATAAATACAAAGGTGGTGGCGCCATTGACCGACAAGCACCAGTGTTCGACGTCTTTTTTAAAAATAATTAATAAAAAAGTTTAGGACAAAATTTTCTATCATAATTACACGTTTTTTATTGATAAGGTCAATTACTGGGAGTCCATTATTGGTGAGTGTCGATTACTGGTTATTTAATTAGTGAATATTTGGTGTTCCTTATTAGAGATTTAGGGAAATTGTTATTCAGGTTTTTTTAGTAATAATTATCATAGCTTTTTTATGAAACATACCACAGCATAATCTTTCTTGACGATTATATCGTTCAAGTTACCTAATCATTACTGATATAATCACCAAATAAATACTGATATATTGTTAAAAACAAAAAGTTGTTTCAAATTTAAGGACACACTTCCCTTCAAAACATCGATCATTGGTGCCATCACCCTGCGTGAAATTAGTATTAGCTGAGATTGGATATTAAGTTATAGCTGCCGATGCTGTTGTCGATGAGATTGGAACGGCTATGGATTACTACATACCGTCTTCCAGTGTCATCGCCAATCGCAGAGGACGCCCTTGGTTCAATCGCGAATGCATGGACGCTGTTAGTGAGAAACAGGCTGCATATCGTGGTTGGATCAGGGGTCGTGTAACAAAGGATCCCAACCTTGCGTCCCTTAAAGCAGCCTATAACAAAGCAACCAAGTCTTGCAGGAGGGCTTACATAAGAGCGGATGCCCAGCGCGTTTCACGGATTGGCCAGAAGCTGGTAGCCCATCCCACCGGTAGCCGTGCCTACTGGAGCCTGGCCAAAGCCGTGCAGTCCAATTTTTGTCGTTCGTCGCTGCCGCCTTTGAGGTATCCCGATGGATTTTTGGCCTATGGCCCCGAAGAGAAAGCCAATTTATTGGCCGACCTTTTTGGGGCTAACTCGCGCATTCACGACCAAGATGCGCAACCGCCGTCAATTCCCCACTGCGGAGTCACAATGCCTGATATAGTTATCAGACAATGTGATGTCCGCAAGGAATTGCAGACTCTTGACGTGCGGAAAGCCTATGGTCCGGATGGGATACCTCCTATCGTCCTTAAAAGGTGTGCGGCGGAGTTGTCTCCCGTACTGACGCGCTTATACCGCCTCTCATACCAATCTGGTAACGTGCCCCTAGCTTGGAGGGAGGCCAACGTGCAACCTATCCCCAAGAAAGGAGATCGGTCTGATCCGACAAACTATCGCCCAATAGCTGTCACTTCAGTGCTCTGCAAAGTGATGGAGCGGATTCTAAATATCCAGATAATCCGGCACCTGGAACGTCACTCCATTCTTAATGATCGGCAGTATGGGTTTCGGCCGAACCGATCAACGGGTGACGTTCTAGCGTATCTAATGCATCTCTGGGGTGAAGCTATCGACAAACAGGGCGAAACCTTAGCGATAAGTCTGGATATTGCTAAGGCCTTTGATCGGGTCTGGCACCGTGGTCTCCTCTCCAAGCTTCCGGCATATGGTCTTCCCGGCCGCCTTTGTGAGTGGATCTCCGGCTTTCTGCGCGAGCGAAGATTGCGTGTCCTTGTTGACGGAGGCACTTCGCGGCTCGTGACAGTTAATGCTGGGGTGCCACAGGGCTCAGTGCTGTCGCCCACGCTGTTCCTTCTGCATATCAATGACTTGTTGCCTTTTGGCAACATTCATTGCTATGCAGATGATAGCACAGTGCACGGTTGCTATTATAAGCAATCGTCAAGCACCCGGGAGGACCCTGAGAGAAACCGGGAAAAACTTGTCGCTGGGCTCAACCATGTTTTGGAGCATATATCGTCGTGGGGCTCCCGAAACTTGGTTGAGTTCAACGCCAAGAAAACCCAGGTGTGCGCGTTCAGCTCCAAAAAATCCCCATTCCTTCCACTTCCCCATCTTCAGGGTACAACGCTGACGCTGCAGGACAGGCTCAGTCTACTGGGGATGAGCATCCGGAAGGACATGAGCAACAAAGATTACATCGAGAGCGTCATCTGTACCGCGTCGCGCAAGCTTGGCATCCTGAACAAGGTGCACCGATTTTTTACTCCAGAGCTGCGATACCTGTTGTATAAAGCTCAGGTCCGAAGCAGCATGGAGTACTGTTCGCACCTTTGGGACGGCTCTGCCAAGTACTTGCTCGATGCCCTAGATGGACTGCAGCGCTACGCCTTCCGTGTTGTCAACGATCCTCATGTAACTGAGCATGCGGAGTCGTTACAGCTTCGCAGAGATATAGCGTCTCTTAGCGTATTCTATCGTCTGTACCACGGTGAGTGCTCTGAAGAGTTATTCAACCTTGTCCCTTCCTCTCCTTTCCATCAGCGGACCACCCGTGCCGGACTGCGTTGCCACAGTTGGACGGTCAGTTCAATACCGTCCCGCACTAAAAAGTTTGGCAATTCGTTTTTATGCCGAACCATCAAATTGTGGAACCAACTCCCGGCGCATGTATTCCCTCCCCTCTATAACATCGGGTCCTTCAAACGTAGTGTGAAGAAGCATTTGGCCAGACCGGCAAAATGATAGTGACGGAGTGAAAATATTTGTGTTTTCCATCCGTTACTCTCATCTCTGGACTGTATTCGCACTTTCCAACAGGCGCGGTGCAGTCATTTTGCCGAGTCACAATAAAAAAAAAAAAAAAAAAAAAAAGTTCATTCAAGTAACAGACAAGTGAATATGAAATTAAGATTAGTTTCACTTACGGAATTTTTGGCCTTATGGCTTTGACTAAAAGATTACCATAGGGTGTAAAAAGAGATCTTTGCTTTGTGGCGAGATTCACTTGAACCTAGTATTATTTCTAACGATTTTAATATTATTAACTTATAAAGTGTAAAACTGCACGGTAACTTAAATTATGGTTTTCATGGAGTGCTTTTGAATCTATATTTACAGATCGAGCAGCGCGTAGATTTATTCGTGAAGGCGGCGCAGCGCCACCAGCTGGGCTATCAAGACGCGATGGCCGGCCGCGGTATCGACCGCCACCTCTTTTGCCTCTACGTTGTCTCCAAGTACCTCGAGCTCGAATCGCCATTCCTACAAGAGGTGTTTAACGAACCGTGGCGACTGTCTACTAGCCAGACGCCTTATGGTATGTGAAATAAAATCCTAATCAAAAACAAAATCCAAAACCCGACTCGCAGGGAGCGAGTATAAATTTATATAAGTTGGTAAAATAAGGATACAAAAATAATTAGAGAAATATCAATAATATTATGTTTGCTACGGGTCGTCTTTATTACATGAAAATAAAATACTTCATTATGCAAAAGTAGATTTCTGAACGTTGACACTTATGCTTTCTTATGAGCGTAATATGTGTTAAATGTACATATAAGTCCTAAACTCTGAGATGTAGTCGAAGCTTAGAGGATGGAAAAAAATAAAGTCCATGGTTTAAGAGGCGAAGTCAAAAAATGTAAACAAACAACTGTCACTCAAAGTCAAAGTGACATCTCATAGACCATAAACCTTTTTCCACGTTCGTTTATTAACAGGTTCCACTGTATTCTGGCTAATAAATTGTAATTGAATAATACCTTTTTGGGTTGAACAATTTACAAAATTGTTTAGAATCATTTTGTGTCATACATATAGTGGTCTTTTTTTCTACAGTGAAAGAGTATCTTTTTTTTGTTGAAGGACCTGGTTCAGCCTCCATTGTAGTTATGTTCACACGAACGCAAGCAAACACAAACGTAACAACAGATTAAAACCAAAACTTAACAAAATAATAACACAAAACGAAATCTCGATAATATAAAACAACAACTCAACAACACGACGCATACACAGCTAGGAACACATTCGACAACGACAGCCGTCAGAAACCGAATGAAGATAATCGCGGTGATGCACTGGTGGGGATGCAATCCGAAGACTTGACCCATTATCCATCCCTATTGACCAAAAACTCACTTTTCATTTTTCAGTTCATTATAATTTTTGTTTAACACTATTATATTTAATTTAACACTATTTAACAATTATCCAATTTATTATTTAAATTTTATTATTCTCAATAAAAAACATTTGATTTAATAAATTATTAAAGTAATAGTATTGTAGCAATTAATTATTCACACTTCTACTTATAAGTATTTGTGTTTATAAATACCAATTAAAATAAAAAATCGAATAAACACTAAGGACAGGCAAAGGTTGTTCATACGCGAAACAGTGCCAATAAGATATAAAATCTTTCCACGAGAAACATTTATTTGAGATTATCTTATTAAGTATGGCGTTTTAAATAAAAAATATGATTTGATGCATCTAGTTTTAATATTTAGCCCTTTTCACTGTTCCACTATTCGTGGAACATTTTTTTGTAATGGCATCACCTTTGTTTACATTTTTTACTTTGATTTCATCTCAGGGTTTAGGCAAAATATTGCCCAAGCCTAGTGACCGCCATTAAGGAAACAAAATAGAATAACCTTATTTTAAATGTACAATATCTATGAACATACAATAAACTACGTATGATTTTTGTAGATACATATGGTATTATTTATTATTGATAAGCTATTGTATTTGTTTAAGGGAAAATAAAATAACTAGGAAATGAAACTATTTTTCCGGATTTAAATCGCGTATATTTGTTTTTTCAAACAAACCGACGTCAATATTAGACATAAGTGGTTGAAGACTGTTGAACACGGTTGACCACCTCAGTCAACCATGACCATGGGACCTGTAAAGGGCCCGAAACGTCGGTTTGTTTGAAAAAAACAAATATACGCGATTTAAATCCGGAAAAATAGTTTCATTGCCTATGTGTAACAATCGCGAAAACCTAAGAAAATAAAATAACTAGGTTTTTTTTAAATTAAGTAAATAGTTTTGATAAAGGGATGAATGAGATGGATAAATACAGGTCAAACAAATATGCTGGATCTGAAGAAAAAGCCGAACTGCGTAAGTGCGGGCGGCGGGTTCGGCCCCGTGGCCGATGACGGCTACGGCGTTTCCTACATCATCGTCGGCGAGGACAAGATCTTTTTCCATGTTTCCAGTAAGAAGAGCTGCCCTATCACGGTAATATCATAATATATTGTAGTCTAATAATATCTAGCAATGACGTCAACACCAATCCCTAACACATCGAGTATATAACCTGAAATAGGGACGCAATAAGGGCCATCCATCACTGGCAACTCATCAGACAAATGGGCCTTGATGACTTTTAAATATCAACTCTCGTTTGCACTGACATCACAAATTAGAAAGCTGAAATAGTACAGCGCCAACAACAGACCTGTGTGTACGTCTCCGTATATTCCAAAAATATTCTGTATTTATTGTAATAAAGATAATATCTCTAACCACGGGAGGCTGTTCCATTCGGTGGTGTGGGAAAAACAGCAAAACGTCTAACTACAAAACAAACGGAATCACATTTTATGGTAATTAGATAAGTAATTTTTCAATTTTCGGCCATTATAGCAAAGTTCAAGTTAAACTGGACGATTTGAATGTCAATTGTTTCGAATTCGGGCTGGGCAATCGGGACGCAGTTGTCACGGGAATGATTTGGCAGAATAGTTTTATAACAAATTAAATTACATTTCGTCTCTATTTCTGGTTATATACTCGATGCCCTAACAATTGGATGCTGATAAACAATAATGTGTTAACCCACAAAAACTCGAAAATTATTATTTCCCAAATTTTACCTTGTCGTCTTGTTTTCATTACAAAAACATAAAGTAAGTGATTTAAAACCAATAAATAATTAAAAAATGGTAAAAGCAATTGACATAAATCCATTGGCCACAACCACGAAAAATTCTTTAGGCACCATTTTTTCAAAAGTAATCGTGTTGGTTGACTTGTTAATCCAATCCAATTGATCTCTCTATTGTACCATTTTATCCGTGTCTTCTCCTGTCTTAAAATTATATGATAAATTAACTTTAACTGTTTCAGAGCTCTTCAAACTTCGTTAAACAAATTGAGTGTTCCCTGAAGGATATGCAAGATATGTATTTAACCTTTAATAAACTCAAAGATAATAAACAAAACTGCAAATAATTGTAAATCTTACACATTATTGTTTTAGATCATGTTTGTTGTTGTTATTATAATTATGTAGTTTATAATATAAACAAACATATTATGTATGTATAGTTTAGTTGTGACATAGTATAAATAAATAATAAAAAACTGCAACTCATAACTTATAAACAACTCGAAATAAAATGCCTGCCTTAATTCTGGACCGCCACCACCATAAATAAATCGAAAACCTTTATTAATACAAATCTTTGTAATTATTATGGAGATATTAGATAAGTTTAGGGATATTTGGGTTAATCGTATTAAAATTCCACATGTACACGTGATTATGTTTTAATCATCCAGAAAGACATATACGCATCACTCATTTGGTGCTACATTGACTCAGTTGTACCTCTTGTAATGTTACAGGAAATGGATTTAAATTGATTTTTTAATTTTATATCAAATTTATAACGAATCAATAAAACTTTGTGTATTTTTACAATATGTGTATGAAAATTTGAAATAACAGCCGATTTTTCTTCAAACGTAAATTTGTTGTTACAGATGTGTTAACATACTTAATAGAATTTTGTCAAAATTACAATTACGTCTTACGTAGCACCAAATGAGCGAAATGTAAAAATTGGACGATAACGTTATGGTGGGGCCTTACTTTGTTTTGAGTTGTAAACTTTGCTAACAAAGAATTAAGACATTCATTTTGGTATATGAAATATGTTAAACTTCTTATTTAAGAAGAGTATTGGCGAGCCCGTTAAGCATTTCTTATAATATAAGATAATTATTATTTTTCACTTGTCTTTGTAAAATTAGCATAAGATTGACCCTTTTACATTAATTTCTACATCGTATCTACTCTATGTCAATGAATTTAATACAAAGTGGTATCAAACTTCGGGTGTATCATTACACCACGCTGCGCGCTCGCATACTGTCTTTTTAATAGAGGCTATCAGCGCGAAAGCGGTGAAACCCCATGAAATGCACATGTAAATGGTAATGAGGGATTTAAAATCAGCCAAATTCATTTTATATAATTATAGTAATCATATATGCCCAATATGCAATTATTAATTTTTAACTGAAAAAATATTTATTTTTATTTGTTTATTTATACATTTATTTCCGGCCACATGACCATATAATATAACATGCCTTAAGGACTAACGTACATACAATATAAATAAAATAAACAACAAATGTACACGTATTGCACTTGTCGGCGACGTGTGGCGCAATCTGGCGGAATCGCTGATATGTGACACCCTTCGGCCAAAACTCTTCCTTCATGAAGGCCGACAGATGTTCGAAAAATTCAAAAAAGGATATATATTACGCGATTACTCTGGTATTTGTGAACCGATTTTGGTGATTCTTTTTTGTTCAAAATTTGAATAAAATATTTCACCTCCAAGGGTGGCAAACTAGGTGATGAATCGGGCAGTTTCCAGTAACCGATTGTTAGCTTTTTAGTTTCAGTTTGTATGTACATATAAGCGAAGTTTGAAGTCGGATCCTTTTTTTTAAATAAAAATTACGTTATTATTTTAAACATAGAAGTAGCTTTCAAATATACAATAATTACGATACTAAAGTATCATTTCAAGTAATATTGTAGAAAGAAAATATATATGTGGGTTACACCACTTTTGCGCTGATAGCCTCAGTTATTGTAGAATATTAAAAAAGAATACAATATTTCTAATTATTCTCCCTGTGGTTAATAATCAGAGACCGGAATAGGCAAACAGAGATTTCAGAGGGAGATATTATCCACTCTATGTGTATTACTTCAATTTTAGGTAAATATACTTTGCCTATGCTGATCTTTGATAATAATAGGGTGTTTATGCACGACATTGTACATACGTAACATGTAAGTAAAAGAAAACTCAGGGGAAAAAGAATGATTGTTTATTTTTGACCGTTTGTACAATGTACGACACATAATTTATGAATTCGAATCATGTAATGATTGTAAAGTAAAACTTAGGGTTTTTGACTAAGGGTTTTATCAGTTTATGAAGTTTATTCCGCAAAAGATAATGACATGAGACTCACGCGTAGACTCACGAGTATCTTGCTGAAAGCAATTTTTAGGTATGAATATAATGTTAATTGTCTTATTTTAAGTGCGTTTATTTATTTATAATTCTGACACTCTTGGCAATCGGAACTGCCATGCACGTATCATAATGCAAGTCAATATAATTAATTTGGAGTAAAATAACAATATCACAATAATAGAGAATTCATATTATTTGCCGAAACGTGTTCTACCGATGTTCATAGCCGCTTGATATCTTTTAAGAGTCGTTTATTTATCATCGCCGTTGTTATTCATCTTTCAGTTGCTGCAATTTATTAGCACATGCCACTATTTTTCCAGCTGTTAAGCCCCCTACCCTCTATGGAGCCCCATTATACGGACGGTTCCTGGTTTCGATTGATTGTCACGATAATCGTATTGATCTATCGCTACTCCCTTTGCGTTCAAGTTAACTGTGTTTGTTGTGTCCTGGCAAGTGCGCTGCACGCGTGCAGTGAGTGCGCCTGAATCACATCTCAAGCAAGGCTTGCATCATAATGGCGAGCAGCACGCGAATAGATTGCACTACGAAATGCACGTGTGCAGCTCGCGAGCTATTCGCAAACAAGCGCATTCGCCAGGTTTTTACGCAACCTTAACGACGTAAACGTACACTTATCGATACGTCGTTTCGATCAATCAGAAACGATAGATCGGGAATACAAATGGTCCCGCATATGCTGCCGTCCGCTAACTAAAACGCGACTAAGTGACAAAATAATTTTTGTCACTTAGCCGCGTGAAAAAAAATAAAAACCATAACCCAGTTTTAGAATAATGAAATTGTTTCATAATGTTTCAGCGATAAGTCGAACACGTTAACTAATTTTAACTGTTTTTAAAAGAGAAGTTTGTGCTCTATCTTTTGCTATTTAAAACGGATATTTGACCACTTATCACTTAACCGCATTTTAGTTAATGGACGGCAGTAAGGGGGCCTTAACAGAGGGCTTATGGCCTATGCCCGGCGAAACTAGATAGTAGACACTCGCTAGTCGTTATTGAAAAATTAAATAGAACTTCTTCATGAATAATCAGTGATGACTATAATAGAGCAGCTGCAACGACGTCTCGCAAGAAATTCCGTCCCGCAAGATGGTCAAGCTTAAGTGGACACGATAGAACGTTAGGAAAGCATGATTATTTGATTACACACTAAGGGCGTTCGCTGTGTGAAAGATGACCCGCGCGCGGATTGTTTCACAGTAGACTCGATTTCTTGGCTGTGGTGTGACAACCAATGGCGGATCCCGCAGCGGACGCTCGAAAGTGCACAAACTGTCACTTACCGAGAATACAATCTCAAAAACATGTAAACAATTTAAGGTACAATTTTGAGGTGGAATAGTAAATAATTTGTAAACATTAGTGTTTGCCCACTCATACAAGGTCAAAAGCTAAAAACTCATTAAAATAAATCTTATTGATGTTGGCAAACGTAATTGTACTCAAATTATTAGTATTTGGCGTATGATATTAGATGTAATATACTTATATAAGATATAGAAAATGGAATCGCGAGAAGAAAATGCGGTGGTTTTATGAATGCTTAAAGTAGACGGAACCTAAACAGTCATATTATATACCGTATTTATATAAAGTTTTTACAAGTAAAGGCAGACAAATCAGATTTGAATCTTCCTTATATTTCTAAGCCAGCATTTCATTAATTTATTAGGTCAGTTTTTATATGAAAACATGCCAAAATTTATTTAAGTTGTACAGGTTTGAATGGATTACTTTCAATTCGATTATGTTACTTTTATAAATAAAACTGCATTTTGTATTACCGAATTTAAATATAATAAGCTTGGTGTGGTTTTTGTTACAAGTTTAAAAGTAAAAACACGACACTGTGGATCAAAACTAACTCCATGAAATAAAATTTTATATTTATAAAACTAACCGAGTTGGATATGTTTGTGAACACAAGTTGGAGAGGATTAGAGTTGTGATCAATATCCCCAGGGATTTAAAAACGAACGGTAGCTGTTAAATGAATATTCAGTTATATTTAAATCTAATTTATGCGTACAAGTAACAAAGTAATAATAGTTCAATTTAGTTTGTTTCCTTAGAATTTATTGTAGTCGGTGGTTAGGTACAAGGTGTAGCAAAAACGTAGACCGTAAACAATTTATCTTTGTTACTACACAAACAGCTTTATTTTCAAATTATAATTTTTTTTTATTGAAACAGAAAAGTAAATGCAAAATGCCTATTCTATGTATTGGTATACAGTTTTGTGTATACCAATATATATAAATAGGTTATACATAGGGTAAAGGATAACACAAATTGCAATTGGCGTGACTACACATATCTAATAGATTTTGCATACATTCTAATCATTTAATGTGTTGTATACCTATTCTGAACAAAAGATCTTTAGGTAGAAAGTACGTTTTTATTTTATTTTTAATCTTACATTAAATACTATTGATCTTTTGACCAAATTCTGGGTGGAACTTAACGAATGACAAAGCCGAAAATTCTGAATACCTACACATGCGCTAAATTGTACGAGTTTTTGTTTTCTTCAACTGTAACCATTTCAGAGTTATTTAATGACAAAGATATGCTTTAAAAATCTATATTCAACCGTAATCAACAGCTGTTTGAGGCGTATTAATTTTTTTACTTTAAAAAGTTAGGGCACATTTCCACTATGTCGTGACGACAGATAGTAGTGCAGTTTACAGTGTCGCGTATATTTAAATGAAGTTGTTCACATATAGTACGACACGATTAACTGTCTTTCACATTTTTTTTGTCGTTACGACGGCAAGAATCGCAATAGCAACAGCTAGAACGACTGCCGTCTGACGATAAATAAAACCTCACGATCAAAAACGTGATGACCAATGGTCGAAAATAGGTGTTCCACATACATAGAAACATAATAATGCTGACGCAGCTGATGATGTTTATGGTGCTGATGATTCTGATAGTGCTTATAATGCTGACGGTGCTTATGATGCAGATTATGGCAAGGGTGCTGATGATGCTGGTGGTACTGATGATGATGATAGTGCTGATGATTCACATGGTGCTGATGATGACTGATGGCCAGGCATGTCATCGGTATTGTCATCAGAACCACCAGCGCTATCAGAATCATCGGCATCATCCGCACCACCAGAATATCAGCACCACCAGTATCAACAGCACCTTTGGCATAATCATCATCAGCATCACAAACAACATCAGCGCCATCAGAATCATTAGGACCATCAGCACGTAAACACCATCAGCATCATTAGTATCATCCGCGCCAAGGAACTATCAGCATCATCAGCATTATATGTAAGCATCACCAGCTGCATCAGCACTATTAGCATTATCATCATTTGACAGATAATCGCAGCTACTATTGTCGTCACGTTCCATTTATCGTTATCACGATATATTGTCGTCACGATCTTGTGGGAACAGCCTACACACGACAGATAGTCGTGATAAGGGAACAGGCTAGACACGACAGTCGTCTAACGATAAATAAAACATAGTGGGAACGCGCCCTGACATTTAGCTGATTGTTAATCAGCTATTAATATATTAATATTTTGTGAACGACAGTATGTACAGTGGTTGATTTTGCGGTTTTTTATTTTCTTTGTGAGAAATTATCACCCTAAAAATTCCGTTTTTGACGGGGCAATACCCAAATTTAACAATCAATGCACCTCCGTAGAATAACCACCAATTAAGCAAGTTAAGCAATTATAGTGTCGCCCGAAATTTAGAAAAGGTAAGTTTTCTTACGTAAATGTGTCAGTAATTCAACTCCAATCCTCTGTGTTAAAGATAACACTAAACAAAACTAAGTAAACACGTTGTATAAAATATAAACACCTTAAACCTGCCCTAGTAACCAATATCTTGGATAGTAACTCGCACACAAAAAGTCATATAATTGTTACCTACTTATGTTAATTTTATTGTCAGCTAATTTGGATTTGCGGCCAGGGCAAACCGGCAGACGGCGGAAGAAAGCATCTGTATGGAGTTTATATCGTCTGCAGCGCATTATTGTGTAAGGGATATCCCTTACTGTAA